TGGTGCTTCTTAATGGCACTGGAAGACAGCCCACGCTCACAACCTCACTCCTTCTACCGTCTTTTCTGCTGAAATCTGATTTGGGTGTATTATTGAGCTGGGAGAAAATTATAGTTCCCATTGAATCTACAACTTCTGATCATAAAAGATAGCTGTGTGAAAAAAATAACATCCATGCATGTATCAAGGTCAGGATTATCTTGCTAATTAAATCATTTTCACTAATAGATAGAACACTTGCATCTTAGGAGCTGATGATATCTCTAAAGGAAGAATTGCCATAAAATAGAAGCACATGTAGGATGTCTTTTGAATGGATGGCCTTGTGCTTGCATTCATATTGGAAACACCTAAGGCGCTTCTGGGTTGAAAGAATTAGCTGGCAACATTATTGCTGCCTGGGGTATGCCCGGTTGTAGGGCTCTTTCATTTCTTCATTACTGTGCCCATCAAAGGGGTATCTATATATCTACTTGTGATTACATGCTTTTGAATTGCTAGCTCAGCAGGAGTAAGAGCAAATGATGGGAGCTCAACCCGCATCACAGCAGCCTCAGGTCTCAAACGCAGCCTTCTGATCATCAACCCATCCTAAGTATGTGAGCCACCATGCTCTTCAATGGATGGCCTATCCTTTCTTGTATTCAACATACTCTTTATATCAATACAGTCACTCCGGCTGTGTTTAGACACTTTTGAGCTTCAGAGCAATAGAAGGAAGAGGTGGTGATGAATAGGAGATGGAGGAAAGAAAGGAGAAGGAGGAAGGATAAGTTTTTTGTAACCCATTCCTTTTGTAAACTGTATATTGATATACCAGCTGTCTTCTATACCCAACAGTGTCTGGCCTCAGTATGATTAATGTATATGCAGGCAAGCACTGCTAGGGTTTAATAGTTTTCTGGCCCGCATACCATAAACATCAGCAAGATTAATGCTTGAATGAATAGAGCCACATAGTGAGACATGGGGTCAGAAGTGATTCTTTGCCTCAAACCCTCCTTTCCAGCTGTTCTGACTATGGGGGAGTTTGGTTGCTCAATGGCAGTAAATATCCTGTTGAATTATAGCTTGACACACTGTCAATCAGAGGCTAAAATGGGGAATAAAAGTCATTGAGTTATGCTAAAACACATCACTGTATGTACTTCCGTAAAACATACTTTCATTCGGAAGTACTTCATTCACATATCTGCACAGTCATGCAAAATTTTTAATTCAGAGATTTGATTCTAAAGGAACTCAATGAAATCTTCAACCTGAATCAATCTGTTGCAGTGGAGCAATTGAAACTTTGAAACAAGCTGAAATGGTTTAGTCATTCAGTTGCATTCATGCAGCAAGGAAATTGTGCTTTGTTTTTTTCCTGAACCAAATTGATACTTCTTGTTGAATTCACAGTGCTACTCAAACTGATAATTTGCTGTCATTCAACATTTTGTGATGACTTGTTGGAGCAGGGCAAGGGAGAAAGTTCTAATACATTGATTCCATTCCTCAAATCCCTTCTCCCAAAAAAGATCCAGACGTGGGCATCATAGAATAGAATAACAGAGTTGGAAGGGACCTTGGAGATCTTATAATCCAACCCCCTTCTTAGGCAGGAAACACTACACCACTACAGACAAATGGTTATCCAACATCTTATTAAAAACTTCCAGTGTTGGAGCATTCACAACTTCTGGAGGCAAGTTGTTCCACTGATTAATTATTCTGTTAGGAAATTTCTCCTTAGTTCTAGAGTTGCTTTTCTCCTAGATTAGTTTCCACCCATTGCTTCTTATCCTGCCCTCAGGTGCTATGGAGAATAGCTTGACTCCCATCATTATCAATCATAATTTATAGATTCTTCTCATTATCAGATGAGTGCAACGAAGTAGAACAATATATAAACTGTTATGTACTTAGTTTATAGTTGTGTTAACTGTGCTAAAGTGCAACTAACCTCTAGATGACCCCAACTGTTTTGCAGGGAAATTCAGAACATTTATATTTGGGAGGGCTTTTTCTAATTCTACGATTAGTTAAGGCCTTGTAGGCCTAGAGTATAAATTACAGGGATTTGCCTGCAGTTCCTCAGTTCCAATTTTGAGTCAATAAATGCTGTTGCAGCTATGCTGGTCTGAAACTGCCTACACTGAAACCCACTACACAATGTAAACCCAAATATTTTCCCTTATCTTCTCCCTTAATACCATCTTGCTCTTTTTCTTAAAGGTTTGGACTGTATCAACCTCCTCTTCGCTTTCTTGTCCATGGCTTCTTTGCTAATGTTGTCAGCAGTTATCTATTTGTCTCATCACATCAGCAGATGCAAGCTGCTGATGTGCTGCTGACAAAGGCGTTTGCCACACTATATGCACAAAGAGAACTTGAGAGGCTGCAGAGACTTTGCAGCCAGTTCTTATTAGAGAGATTCCATTATTAATAGAAATCTAGATTGTCAGTGTTGTGTCCTTAAGGTCAGTTTCTAAGAGCAATAGCAATAGCTCTTAAACTTATATATCACTTCACAGTGCTTTTACAGCCCTCTCTAAGCAGTTTATAGTATCAGCATAGTGCCCCTCAAAGGCCCTCAGAAGGATGGAAGGCTGAGCCAACCTTGAGCCGGTAAGAATCAAACTGCTGAACTGCAGTCAACAGAAGTAACCTGCAGTACTGCTTTCTAACCACTGCGCCACCACAGCTCTTATAAAAGACTGTGATGCTATTACTATTGTAATAGCAATAGCTATAGCAATAGCAGTTAGACTTATATACCGCTTCCTAGGGCTTTCAGCCCTCTCTAAGCGGTTTACAGAGTCAGCATATTGCCCCCAACAATCCAGGTCCTCATTTTACCCACCTTGGAAGGATGAAAGGCTGAGTCAACCCTGAGCCGGTGAGATTTGAACCGCCGAACTGCAGTTAGCAGTCAGCTGAAGTGGCCTGCAGTACTGCACTCTAACCACTGTGCCACCTCGGCTCCAGCTGGTGCATGCAAACTCTCACAAACCTGAATCGGTTCACATAGGAACCCACCCCTGGTTGGAAGAGACCTTGGAGGTCTTCTACTCCGACCTCCTGCTCAAGCAGGAGACCCCATAGCATTTCAGACAAATACCTGTCAAGTCTCTTCTTATAAGTGGTGGAGCTCCCACAACCTACCCACAACAAGCTGTTCCAGTGCTTAATTGCTCACACTGTTAGGACATTTCTCCTTAGTTCTGGGTTGCTCCCCTCCGTGGTTCGTTACTTCATCTCTGGGAGATTAAGGCAAAGACAGAGTNGCACACTGGGAACAGGCTCCAGCTGTTCTTCTGCCTCACTGATGTCTGACTCCGAAGGCAGCTGATAACTGTCGGACAGCCCTGCCCACATCTCTGCCTCCAATGCAGAGCCCTCATCCGAGCCTCCCCCAGACTCCAGGACTGGCCCACGTTCCTCCCAAACCTCCTGTCTGAATCCACTGCCAGCTCTGCTGTCCGCTGGTGGGCCACAATAGTCTTTTTTCCAATGAAATAAAAGCAAAAGGCATTTGAGGACTCTGTGGTATCTCACTTCATCAAACTATTTATTAACAGGAGGTGCCCAGACCAAGACAAAAGTATTTTCCTTTTTAACCTTCAAAGATTTATGATGTAGTTTGAAATACAATAATGTTTTGAATAACATCTTTGAGGACTCTTACTATGTTAGTTATTATATTTTTTTAAAAAATACATTTATATTTAAGAGGTAAAGGCTTTGAATTATTAGCTGCCATTTTGACTGATGATTGAGCAATTAAACTTCAGTATTACATAGGCGTGTCTTGGGATACCTATTCAAGTAGGACAGCCCTTCATGGTGATTTGTAAAAGTAGTAGTGATTTGTAAAATAAAACTGACAGTCAAACAATTGTGTTTCTACACACACACACACAGTTAAATCCAAGTATATTTGTTTCTAACAACCAGGTGTGTCCACTGAAGCACTAAATAAGGAATATATCTAGAACCACAGGAGATATTTGACTCAATTGAAGGCGACACAAAGGTTAGGGACATGTAGTAATATTTTATTTCCACACAGAACAATTGTATGGGGAAACAACTCAGCACTGGCAAAAAAAAAACCAAGAAAGACGAGCTGGCACACACAGCAATCTTAGCTTGCCCGTAAGCCTCTTTTATGGAACTCTTAAAGGTGTTTCCTACAGTTTTCTCGCAATAGGATTTCAGATGCTCTCAAACGTGGCTTCTGCTTTTGTTTCCTTGCCAACCCCTCTAAGTGGCACGCAACGACTCTGTCAATACAAACATGGAAACTATGCTTTTAGTGACACTTAAAATAAAGGCAGCCAAAATGCAGTTCGAAAGTGGCGCTCTCACAATTCCAGCGAGGCTTTTTTGAGGCGTCATACGTTTTAAGTTTAGAGCTTGACTCCTGGCGTTTTCAATATGTTTGCAGTAGCCCCACAAAAAGAGCCTAAGCATAAAATATCAGCTTTCTTCTTTTTTCTGTATTTTTTTTTTTAAATCACATTCTCAACTTTCGGAATAAGAATGTGCCTGAAATGTGATAGTCTAAGCCTGCATAAAACCCAGGAGCTAGAGATGACCAGAATAAAATGGTCTTTGAGCCACTGCAGCAGAAGGAAAAAAAGGAATGCTAGTTTGCTGACTTCTTTTTTTATACATCCTTCCTTAATCTTACAGTATTTGGTGATTCAGTTATTTCTGTCTGTATTGTCTATTTGGGCTGCTAGTGCCACTTAAATTAGGTGTTTCACAGAAGTTCCTTAGAAGAAGGAATAATTTCAATTTTTTCCCTTTGGGAAATGGCTTCGATAGGAATTTTACAGACATGGCATCTCTACATTTTTTGTTAAATTAAGCAGAAGCCTGAAGACGTTTACAAGCATGTTTTGCTGATGGATGTTGTCAAGGTAAAGGTAAAGGTTCCCCTTGCACATATGTGCTAGTTNACACACACACATACACACAAATATATATATATATGTATATTGAGTAAATAGATTTCTATGGCTGCCCATTTTTTGGAATCTTGCATCAGCAAAGCTGGCATTCCTTCAAAGGGCCACATTTAACAAGGGCTTTGAGCAAAGTGTGGGGTGGCCTGAGCGTCCCTCACCTTGGCTACCAAGGGCTGATTCTTGTCTTCTTCCAGGCACTCATTGAGGTACCGTGTGAAGATCTGGCTCGAGAACTTGCCGAGACTCCGCGTCAAACCCAAAGGTTACAAGAGACCCTTCAGGAGACCCTGGATAGGCGGGAAGAGGAGAGACGATCCCGTCAGCTTCTGGAACTTTACCTGCAGGCAATAAAAAAGGAGAATCGGGCTCCATCCACAGCACACGGTAATAAAAATTTACTGCCTAGTAACCAAGGAAGGATGGAGAAGACATGTTACTACTAATGGACCTCTCATGTCTATACCTCAGCTGTAAAAGTAGTCCTTGACTTACCATGTATCCCTGAAAATAAGACAGGGTCTTATTTGCTTTTGACTCCCGAAATATTTTCGGGGAGGTCTTATTATTTTTGCGGTACAGCAGGCAGCGAGCGTAGTCACCTCATGGCTGCTGCTGTGTTGCAATATTTTTGGGGAGGGCTTATTTTAGTGCATGCGCTCAAAAGCCCCGATTGGGCTTATTATCCGGGGAGGTCTTATTTTCAGTGAAATAGGATAAAACAGTTAATTTAATGCCCGTTCAAAATTACAACAGCATTAAAAAAATGATGTAGCATGACCGGGTTTTTTAAAAAAAAGTTTGTTTATTTATTTCCCATTTTAAAAAATATATAAACATTTCATCAGTCCCGAAGCAGTATGTCGTCTAGGTACAAATATTTCTGTGCAACACCCCTCCACAAATGTTATACATTGAACAATTATACCTTGTGTAACTCTTCATTTCCCTCATAACATATCTTCTGATAAAAATACAGTAATAACATTAATCATGATTATTCTCATTATCCTCATGTTATCAGTTGCCCTTTCATTCTTACCTCTATCTTAATGTATTTTCAATTCTTCTTGTTGTCTTCTTCCTTTATTTCCAATATCGTTTTTTATTCTCCAACCATTGGTAAAATGCTTCCCATATCATATAATAATCAGTTTGTTCCTTCTCCTTAATTGCTAGTGTTAGTCTATTCATTTCTGCACATTCTAATATTTTCCTAATCACCTTCTCTTCAGTAGGAATCTCTTCACTTCACTATATACACATACATATATATATACATACATACATACATACATACATACATACACAC